TAGCTAAACACGCGCAATGGTCGCGTGCTTGAAAACACGCATTTCACGCGCAATGAAGATCGCGCTAACGCTTACGTGATTCTAAAACTTTGGACCAAAAATTTTTCCCAGAAGTGTCGAATCGGTTTGCGTGAAAAAAAGCACTCAAATCAAACATATAGACGATAGTTTAACGTACACATGTTGACGTACACTCGTGAATAATTTCATGCATGCACTCGTGAAGAAGTGCATGAAGAAGTGCATGAAAAAGCATACACGTACATGCATCGTCTGGGTTTCTGAATCAGGGGCTGGGATCATACTTTCAAAATTCTCTAAGTGAACTTAAGTACTTACGCTCTATTTTCTTGTCTATGATTGGTGGATACTTTCAAAGCTCGCTAAGTGAACGTTAGTACTTACGCTCTATTTTCTTGTCTATGATTGGTGGATTTTGCTTGAAAGGCTGGTGATGATTGGCTGATGAACTTACGATCTCTTAACTTTTTTTGAATGTATAGACCCTGGTCACGCTCGCGCTAAGAACTCATGCCAACTACCCCAACAAAATTTAGAGTCGCCCCAGCTTCTGGTAATCCAAATCAGAAGCTGCCGCGACTGTAAATTTTCACTGGGTAACAAAATTTAGAGTCGCCCCAGCTTCTGGTAATCCAAATCAGAAGCTGCCGCGACTGTAAATTTTCACTGGGTACTGAGCAGGATAAGTATGAGTCAACCAAACTAGATGCTTATTTCGTCTGTCTTAAGCAAATTCGGCTCGTCTGGCAAGTGGCTCCCGAAAACGGCTCCTAATTAGTAGCCGAATACAGTAGGCGGCCGATTCAGGCCCGATCTGCCTCTAAGGCGGCTATAGGGCGAGCCTCCGCCGCCTCTGAATGGAATCTGGATCTCGACTGGGTACGCCAGTAACATTTATTAACGTTCAGAAACATTCAGAAACATTCATCAGTGACATTCATTACAAGAAATTACAGTTCGTCCAGATAGATATATAGATATAGTTCGTCCAGATATAGTTCGTCCAGAAATAGTTCGCCCAGGGCCCATACTTTCAAAAAAAGTTAAGAGATCGTAAGTTCATCAGCCAATCATTGACAGCCTTTCAAGCAAAATCCACCAATCATGGACAATAAAATCGAGCATAAGTACTTACGTTCACGTAGCGAGTTTTGAAAGTATGGCCCCAGATCATGAAAGTGAAAGGGTGAAGCAGGCATAAATCACGTCACGGAAGGATGGTGGACGGTCCATCGGGCGGCGGCAGGTGGCGGCAGGTGGCGGCAGGTGTTCAGTCTTGAGGCTTTTAAGGCGGTAACTCCCAGGCGTCGGAAGCGCGTCTTCCGCCGCCGGTCAACCGTCGGGCGACAACACGCGTCGTCGTCGCCGCCGCCGCCGAGTTCTTTCATGAATTAATAATGGATGATCAGCACAATATTGACGAATGATCATAACAAGATTAATAAATTAATCCTTAAAACATTGATGAATGATAAATGTTGTTCCTCACTCCAACCTCCCGAGTGGCCGCTATATCAAATATTCCGAGTGGCCGACCACTTCATATAAGAGGCACTCATGCCTATATCGCGGATGCGCAAGGCCCTGAAATTTTATTTAACTATTTTTAACCATTAATCATGTAAGTTACCATGCATGATCAATTTAAATCTCCTCCCTAAAAGACCAATCACCCCCCTCAGTTTGTGTTAGAGGCTACGGCATCAGGCCTCTGACAATCACCAATTATCTGACCAATGTTGTATACATACCATTCCTCCCATGACTAGTATTAAAATATGAGCATTTAAATGATAGTTTCCAATTTAACAAAGCAATTGACGTTCTTATTCTTATTGAATATTTTTCGAGACGAAAGTGATGAATCTTCCTGAATTATCTACAATAAAATGAGGGAATTGAACTAGATTGAGGTAAGATGGTTACCCTTTGAATTTATATATATATATATATATATGTATATATTTAAAATTTCACTGTAATACATTTTTACGGAGTGATGGCCGTATTTAATGAATTATCCAACTGCGCATTATTCCTTGCAAATCGCATATATTAGAAAATATATACGAGCTAATATATCTCATTTTGCTTATACTTTTTCGGAAATTAACATTTTAGAAAGTATTAGCTTGCCCACGAAATTGATAAAATGAAGGCGTTTTGTAAGCAATTATACACACTAATCAAGAATTAAGTAAGTTTACGAAAAATCCAATGGTTTGCAAGACGCCAACTTACTGACATTAATATTGACACAATAATGATTAGCATTGTGGAACATTCTTACTAAACTAACCACAAAAAATCAGCAATTAACGAGTGATGGCTTCAGAAAGTTGCGCAGGTCGCCAGTTCCGTAGACTTGACATGTGAGTGAGGCATGTAACCAGACCACCTAGACCTCATTTGCTTTATTTTTGGTCGCTTTCTTTATCATATTTTCTCACTCCCCTCACTTCTCTCACTCCCCTCACTCCCCTCACTCCCCTCACTCCCCTCACTCCCCTCACTCCCCATACCCTCACAACACCTGCATGTCACACTATACCCCATCGTTAAGGGTATCTCTCTAACTACCTTACATTGTGTCGTTACTAACCCTTCCTAACCCTGTCAGTGCCCCGGACTAACCCTTAACCTTAAGGCAGTCTCCCCTCGTCCTACTGCTCCCCTAAAACACTCGGGTTACCCGCTAAAATGTCCTTAAACTCCCCCTTAACATGTCCTTAGATGCCCTAAAAACAATATCCGTGACGCGCTGCTTCCCTCGTCACACGGCTTCTAAAAATGCAAGTAAGTTAAAAGCGGTAAGTTGAACTTCATGTTGCTTACTAGCAACTTAATTTTTATTCTTACTAAATTAGGATTTTTTTGGGAGGAATTTTTTTATACATTTTTCATTAGTTATTTTCCAATCTCGGACAAATTTTCTGATACATTTTGCATTTGTACTTTTCCAATCACTTATATAATGAAAAATATTTTATAGAAAAGGTTTAAAATTTTTTTATGTATTGAAAAAATCGATTACAAAGTTTATTTTCAACGGAAGGCTTTATTGATGCACAAAATTAAAATGTAAATATGGTTTAATGGACAGCACGCGTAGCAAGAAAACCTATATAATATATTTACATAGTTATACTAAGTTAAATAGTTGTGCGAGTGCATTCTTTTGGCATGACATTGAAGAGATTAGAAGCCGGGTGACAATGAATTATATATACACTCTAATTCATAACAATAATGAATTCCTGAATAATGCTAATGAATGAATAATAATTATAGCTCTGAATAATAATAATAATAATAATAATATTAATGATAATAATAATAATATTAATAAAACCATCAAGAATAATACTAAAATAATATTATTTATATTGCTTATATATATAATAATAATAATATTAATGCTAATAATAATTATAACAATAATTTTAAACAACATTGAAGTTTAAAATTTGAACTTAATATCACTAAGGTTGTTTATGAGCTCCATTGAGATATCAGTATATATGCTGTTCTATATGCTGATATATATGCTTATAAATGTATGCTAGTATATATGCCAGTATATATGTATACAGTAGGAGTGTTATAGAGTATCTTAGATTCTCTTCCACAAACATCATATTAGATTAAATTCCTGATACATTATATTGATATTCATTTACTAAGATATTAATAAATTCAAAATAAGATATTCTCTACTCACCTTTTACCTAGCGCGTATAGGTTATAGAAATATAAGTTATCATATGTCAATGTACTATAGAATAATATAAATATGATTATATATTAGTAAATGTATTAAAGTTATCCTAAATTTGATTGGCGTGATAATGATTTACTATTATCATGTATTAATTTAATCTTGAATTTATTATTATTCACAAATCATTCGCATAGCTTAATTTAGAAATCATTCCCCCCCCCCTTTCCCCATGAGATCTAAAATTGACGTTTCTAGATGCGATAAAGAACAATCGTTTTTAGATGCGATAAAGAACAATCGTTTTTAGATGCGATAAAGAACAATCGTTTTTAGATGCGATAAAGAATAATCGTTTCTAGATGCGATAAAGAACAATCGCTTCTAGATGCGAAAAGGATAACCGTTTCTAGATGCGATAAAGAACAAATGTTTCTAGATGCGATAAAGAAAATTTTTGATTCTAGAAAAATCATACCTAGCGAAAGCGACTAGTCCTAGTATAATTTATGTCTAGTGTTTCAAATGTTCCCCCTACATCCTCCTAGAATCTCTTGAAACCTCCACGAGATTACTAGAACTTACTAAACAGGCCGTCTAGAGCAACATAGCACATACTGGATCACCCACGAGTTCTCTGAAATTTTCTAGAGTCCTTCAAAAACTCCTATCGTCTCTTCCTAGAATCCTCCAAATCGTCCTATTGTCATCTAGAAACTCTTGGCGTATTTTACAGGGTCTCTAATCTATCTAGTGGTCCTCTGCATCGCATACAAGCTCCTTAAGACATCTAGAGTCTTATAGCAGCACTTTGAGCCTCCCTAAGCCACCTAAGAACTCTTAGATCATAGTGTCTCCTAGATCCTAGAGTCTCCTAGATCCTAGAGTCCCACGCTCCCCTCTTCGCATTTATTTGCTCGGCTCACCCGATAGCCGAGCTTCCTGCGCCGCGCATTTTTTAGCTGCCCTCGAATTCCCTCGTTTTTGCCCTCGCGTAAAAAGACGAAAGCTGGCGACCACATGGCGCTACCCTCACGTCATACGGCCGTGTGGTGACCGTAGGATGTGTGGTGACCGTAGGATGTGTGGTGACCGTAGGATGTGTGGTGACCGTAGGATGTGTGGTGACCGTAGGATGTGTGGTGACCGTAGCATGTGTGGTGAGCGTAGGATGTGTGGTGACCGTAGGGTGTGTGGTGACCGTAGGGTGTGTGGTGACCGTAGGATGTTTGGTGACCGTAGGATGTGTGGTGACCGTAGGATGTGTGGTGATGATGATGGTGAGGATGATGATGGTGAGGACGATGATGGTGAGGATGATGATGGTGAGGACGATGATGGTAAGGACGATGATGGTAAGGATGATGATGGTAAGGACGATGATGGTAAGGACGATGATGGTAAGGACGATGATGGTGAGGACGATGATGGTAAGGACGATGATGGTAAGGATGATGATGGTAAGGACGATGATGGTAAGGACGATGATGGTAAGGACGATGAAGGTAAGGACGATGATGGTAAGGACGATGATGGTAAGGATGATGATGGTAAGGACGATGATGGTAAGGATGATGATGGTAAGGACGATGATGGTGAGGACGATGATGGTGATGATATTCTGCCTCGTCACGCCGCATCGTCTTACAGTCGCCGGACACAACAAGCTTTTTTCTACCCTGAACCTGTGGCTTGATTTCACCACAACTCTTCTTTGCTTGTACTGAATTCTTTCATACAAAATACATGTATACTACAATACATACAAGTTTAATTGAAGAACAGAGCATGCTTTTTATTAACCATCTTCTTATTTGTTTGTTTTTTCATGAGTCGAACAATTTGTACTGAATGCTTTCATACAAAAATACATGTATACTACAATAAATACAAGTTTAATCGAAGACCAGAGCATGCTTTTCATTTACCATCTTTTTATTTGTTCCTTTTTTTTATTAGTCGAACAATTTGTACTGAATACTTTCATACAAAATACATGTATACTACAATAAATACAAGATTGAATAAAGACGAGAGCATGATTTTTATTAACCATCTTTTTATTTATTTTTTTCAATGAGTCGAACAAAATTTCTTGCTGGGGCCCGTAGATCTAAAAGTTTTAGATAAAATTTGACGTTTTAAATATGCAATATCATATATTTGTATAAATAATCTATACAATATTACAATCCTATATACGAAATTTATTATCAAGCAGGTGATGGTTTTGCAACACACGAAATCGAACTTTGAAAATGTGCAAATCATACAGTAGTACAAATCAAGGAGATTGTGGATACAATTTAAAATATTAGCTTAAAATTACTTTGAAAATAATTTCGCTCTTGATAATGAGGGCCTCAGCTCTTGATAATGGGGGCCTCAGCTCTTGATAATGAGGGCCTCAGCTCTTGATAATGAGGACCTCAGCTCTTGATAATGAGGGCCTCAGCTCTGGATAATGAGGGCCTCAGCTCCTGATAATGTTTCTAAATTGAAGAAACACATATGAAGGTTTTGACAAAAATCGTTAAAAAGAAACAAGCTTTTGAATTCAATCAAACTTGCACAAAAGAAAGGTTTCTGCAGAATTACACTAATTTTCGCACCACAGTAAATGTTCATCAAATCAAAAAACAGCAGAAAACAGTCATTCCAAAATAATTTCAGATAAATCTATTTCAAAATGAATATGTGTAATAAATTTATGCCAAATTAAATTCGTAACTTCATACAAAAATGAATTATGCTTCTGAATTGCAGGCTTCCTTTGAAGTTCAATTCTCACCTAGATATTAGTATGCATTCATTTAAATGTAGATCTGAATTAAAAATGCGTAGTTGCATGGATTATAATTAACATTATTTTTATGTTATTGTAAATGCCGGCAAGTTTGATTTCACTTGAGTCTTGTTAACTTGTCTGTTGTTTTAGCCCACAATCGTGCGCAGTAACACGCATGGCACGAATCAGACCACGCACGAAATGCAGTCATGCGTGGGTCTATGTTACCGTCCGTCACGCTACAGACCACATGTAGCCCCACACCCACGCTACAGACCACGTGTAGCCCCCACACCCACGCTACAACCACGCTACAGACCACGTGTAGCCCCCACATCCACGCTACAGACCACGTGTAGCCCCCACACCCACGCTACTGACCACATGTAGCCCCCACACCCGCGCTACAGACCACATGTAGCCCCCACACCCGCGCTACAGACCACGTGTAGCCTCCACACCCACGCTACAGACCACGTGTAGCCTTCATACCCGCGCTACAGACCACGTGTAGCCTTCATACCCACGCTACAAAACTGTGTGTGTAGTACAAATTCATGAATATCTAAATTATTTTTAACAGAAAGCAAATAAAAATATCACCCATTTGACTGCCAGGTGACCGTGGGCTACATTTAAAGCGTCCAGAAAATCGATAAGATGAAACTTAGGCGTTTTATCGGCGGCCAAAACACCCTTAGCAATGGGAGAAGCTGTGCTCTATCAGCGCGCCATCGCCGCGTTATCGGCGCGCCATCGGTTGACCAGCGGCGCTGGCTTACGCGTTTAGAGCGTCTAAAAATGTGAGGAATTGGGGGGAAATGTGTGAGTCAAAACTACTTACTTCAGTACAGTTTATGTAGTCAGTTCANTCCCAATACACACCGCCCCTGGGACGCCAATAGCCGTGTCGTCCACAAGCGTCCCAATACGCGCCGCCCCTGGGACGCCACTATCCGTGTCATCCACAAGCGTCCCAATACACACCGCCCCTGGGACGCCAATAGCCGTGTCGTCCACAAGCGTCCCAATACGCGCCGCCCCTGGGACGCCACTATCCGTGTCGTCCGCAAGCGTCCCAATACACACCGCCCCTGGGACGCCAATATCCGTGTCGTCCACAAGCGTCCCAATACGCGCCGCCCCTGGGACGCCAATAGCTGTGTCGTCCACAAGCGTCCCAATACGCGCCGCCCCAGGGACGCCAATAGCCGTGTCGTCCACAAGCGTCCCAAAACGTCGTCTCTTGGACGCCAGGGACGCCTGTTGTCGGTGAAGCTCTTACGGCAATTGCGCTGTCCACACATGATCGCCTAGCGGCCCTGCACCGCACGCAACTGGCCCTAACCCGGCCGTATTTCCAGCGCAGATTCGGCATCGATTTCGTTGGGTTTTTCGCCGAAGTTTGAAGCCAGCGAACGGAAGTGAAATGCAGGCGAGATTCGCGGCGGCGGCGACGCTTCAAAAATTACGGCGATTGAAGCAAAACTGGCGGCCCGGAGCGGCGGACGCTGGCCGCGGCTCCACTTAGCGGAATGAGGACGGGGGGGATTGGGTATGAGGGACTGCGGGGCGAGGAGGGACTGAGGGGACTCGTAGGACCGGGGAGGCATGGGGACTGAGGAGAAGTGGAGGCTTGAAGGGACTTGTCAGGGCTGGGGGAAGCTTGGGGGAGTATTAGGGACTGGGGGTGACCAATGGAGTGGATCAACCTCTTCACATCCTCTTCTGTAACACTTGGAAAATAATAATCGGACTGCTACCTAACTTCGAGAGCGAGACCTTCCGGATCGAGACATGCCATAACGAGAGAATAGGAAGACTGTGCAGGATTCTACGTGACCGATCTGCCGTTGAATTTCAATCACTGCGGGAATGATTTCTATCCGTGGCGGAGCCTAGGCTGTTAAACGATTGCCAAAGTATTAAGAGAGAGCTAGTTCACCCTGGAGACCTTCAAGAGACCGGATGTGTTCCTGGGCACAATCCCTGATTGCCTCTGCACCATCACCGGCAGCAAGAAGCCAACAACAGCATCAGCTGGCCCATATGAGGGCTTCAGCTGGCCCATATGAGGGCTTCAGCTGGCCCATATGAGGGCTTCAGCTGGGCTTCAGCTGGCCCATAAGCCCTCAGCTGGCCTGAGGGCTTCAGCTGGCCCATATGAGGGCTTCAGCTGGCCCATATGAGGGCTTCAGCTGGCCCATCTGAGGACATCAGCTGGCCCATTTGAGGGCTTCAGTTGACCCAACAGAGGGCAAATGAGTAGTAGTTATGGACCGGCCCCTGAGGCTTCGACGGCGAGTCTGGGAGACTGTCGAGGAATCGGGGCTTGGGGACTAGTGAGGACCCGGAGACTGGGGAGACTGTGGGGGGGGATACAATACTTGTAATACTTACAATGCGTGGGTGAATTACCCAGCACCCACTACAATAAACTTTTCGTGAACCATGTACGCAACAAAGAACTCACCAAATGAACCACGTACCCAACAACTCACCCTCTATGTGAACCATGTACCCGACAATTCACCCTCCATGTGAACCATGTACCCGACAATTCACCCTCCATGTGAACCAGGTTCACACAGCAGTGAACCACACGAGGTCACGGCAGCTCCAGAACAATGCCCCCTAAAACAATGCTCTGTGGTCAGCTGATCTGAGAACCAGGTCGCTCGAGGGAACAGCGTTCCCATTCCCGCCGTTCCCGGCGAGGGAAAAACACACAAAATTCACATCGCCTCTTCCTTGTAAACGGTAATCCATTCCGGCCGATTTTTCGGCGGCCAAATGACGGCCGACTTTTCGGCGGCTACATGACGGTCAGCTTTTCGGCGGCCAAATGAAAGTCAGCTTTTCGGTGGCCAAATGACGGTCAGCCTCTCGGCGGCTAAAATACGGCCAGCTTTTCGGCGGCCATTAGACGGCCGACTATCCCAGTACACTCGGAGAAAGGAGTAAAATTTTGTTTAAATATTGATGCACCTCTAGACCTATTGTGGGTCATCTTGAACCAACATGTCCCGGCAAAAGAGCGTGTCAGTGCTAGGTAGATAAAATAGGTCAGAAATTTGACACGAAGACCCATGTATTGTTATAAGTATAAGGCAAACTGATTATAGTTTATGGTAAATCATAACCATATGAGGCGGTGTTCCAGCGTGGCCTGGGCTGTTACATCCGAGGATATCTAGGATATATCAGGAACTTGTTCGTCTAAACAATAAATAGATAATAAACAATAGCAACAAGAATGGTTCGGAACTCATAAATTTTCTTATAAGATGTTTAACTATTTATCTAATTTAAATTTTTTTCGAAATACTGTGCCGAATACATATGATGGGTGCGCTCAGTCATTTGAAAGGTCTAATATTTTGGAATTTCCCCACTCGGCCCACTCGAAACATTTATCGTGAGTGGTGGGTACTTACTAGCTCCCACTCTTCCCCACTTTCTATTTAAATATTTTCTAAATTCTTCCACTTGCTAATGGATCTCACTAATCCCACTCATCCATGGCAATAAACCCAGTCCACTCAACCCAGCCTATTCAATGTAACCCACTCAGCCCAACCCATTCAACCCAATCCACTCAACCCAAACCACTCAAGCCAACCCACTCAACCCAACCCATTCAATCCAGCCCACTCAGCCCAGCCACCTCAAGCCAGCCCACTCAACCCAACCCACTCAACCCAGCCCACTCAACCCAGCCTGCTCAACCCAGCCCACTCAACCCAGCCCACTCAACTAAACCACTCAACGCAACCCACTCAACCTAACCCACTCAACCTAAACCACTCAACCTAAACCACTCAACCCAACCCACTCAACCCAGCCCACTCAACCCAGCCCACTCAACCCAGCCCACTCAACCTAAACCACTCAACGCAACCCACTCA